ATATATATATATACTCTTGCATGGTAGTTAAAAAGAGTTTCCCATAAACTGTAGTTTTAAAGAGCGCGTTAATAAACCAGACCAGAAAAAGTTTAAAAACTTAAATTTTTTTTTTTTTCAAATGATAGACTGCCTGCCCAAACCAAACCCTCAGTCGATGTAGCAGCACTCCCTTGCGAGTCAGGCTATTTGTCAGTCGATGTAGCAGCACTCCGTTGCGAGTCAGGCTATAAGATAGTCGATGTAGCAACATTTACGCATGTTTTAAAAATATTTTTTAATAAAATAAAAACAAAAACATCACTAATAAAAAAAAACTTTCTAGTCGTTATAATTGCGGTTTTTTAAAAAATTTTTAAAAAACAATAAAATTTAATGTACTTCCGCTGTCGTACAAATTTATTTCCCCCATAAATTTATTTCCGAGTCGCACGCCGATTGGTTAAAGAGGCCACCCGAAAGAACTAAACAACGCCATACAAACTAAACAACAACACCCGTAAATTTTCTTCCAATCCTGATTAGAAGTGAGTTTAAATTTACATTAGGTTTTAATAAATAAATTAATAACTTTCATGCCAAGTATGATATATTATTTTTATATTTTTTCTTAAGCAATGCCTAAGATCAATGCAAAATCTCAAGAGCTACGTCTCGAAGAGATAAGACAATACGTTTTAGAAGGAAAGTATGCAAATACTGTTTTGAACAGTGAAAAACGTGGGCTCAGAATAGCTGCAAGAAATTTTAAAGGAATAGGCAAGTGAATTTTAATTATTTGGTATCTGTAGTAGACCCGATTAAGACTAATACAAGTAATTTAGTAGTAAGGTTTTATATTATCTAAAATATAATGGAACACAATATACATAATCTAAATATAATAACAATATTGCAATATCACAGTATCTAATAGTTTCCACTTAGTTTTAAATATTTTGTTTTAAGTTTAGGATTTTAACATATGTTTAAACTAAGTTTTACAATTTGGTGAAATTTTTAGATGGACGTTTGTACTATAATCGAGATGAATCTCTAGGACTTGTTTTGTATAGTCAAGAAGAAAGAAAAAGAGTTCTTAAAGAATGTCATAATGATGCTGGTGGGGCACACCAGGGAATAGTAAGAACTCAAAATAAAATTAAAAATTTGTACTATTGGATGTCAATTACATCTGATGTTGAAGCATGGGTTATATAAAGATAATAAACATATAACTATCATTATTAATATAAAATATAAATGCAATATTGTACAAGCAATAATAATATACACTATAAATTGTATTATTCTAATTAAATAATGTATAGTCTATTATAGATCAAGACATGTAAACAATGTCAATCATTTGAAAAAATAAAAACAATTGCACCACAACTACACCCAATTCAGGTTACAGAAAGATGAGCAGTTTTAGGAGTAGATCTAATTGGTCCATTACCGGAAACAGTGAATGGCAATAAATATGTTTTAACAATAACAGATTTGTTTACAAAATGGATTGTTGCTAGAGTATTGCCTGAAAAATCTGCTGCTGCTGTAGCTACTGCTTTAGTTAACACTTTTCATACTTATGGTCCGCCAAAAAAAGTAATTACAGATCAACGAAGAGAATTTGTGAATGAGGTAAAGACTAAAAATGTTTCTAAAACTTTTGTTTTTTTTGTGTTATTGAAAACTTATTTTATTAGTTTTTTTTTATTATTTTTTATGTATAGCTTAACAATAAAATTTTTCCCTCCTGTCATTTCTCCTTCAACGAATGCATGTTGTTGTTTGATAGATGAAAAGGATTTGGACCCTGCAAGGGTTATTTTTCAACCGTATATGTAGCAGTGTGGGAAGTTCAAATTAACTCAAAATGTTTTTGGTTTAAGTAATACTCTATCCTTAATTTTGATAAGTCGCATCTTAAACAGGTCTTCTTGGTAATATCGGGTAATTGGACCCCATCTTTATTTGCATTGATTTTCTTTTCCTTCGACACATTGAATAATGTGTGAGTTCATTCGATCAACAAAATTTTGATTTAGGGATTAGGAGAATTCTGAATGAAGCCTTATTTTTTTGAAGTTAAGCGTTATTTGAAACATGGGTTTACTAAACTGAACGAAGATTGGATTTATGTTATTAAAAATGTATATATATATATATAAATATATATATATATATATATATATATATATATATATATATATATATATATATATATATATATATATATATATATATATATATAAATATATATATATATATATATATATATATATATATATATATATATATATATATATATATATATATATATATATATATATATATATATATATATATATATATATATATATATATATATATATATATATATATATATATATATATATATATATATATATATATATATATATATATGTATATATATATATATAAGTATATATATATATACATATTTTGTTGATCGATATATATATACATATATATCAATCAACAAAATTTTGATTTAGGGATTAGGAGAATTCTGAATGAAGCCTTATTTTTTTGAAGTTAGGCGTTATTTGAAACATGGGTTTACTAAACTGAACGAAGATTGGATTTATGTTATTAAAAATGTATATATATATATATATATATATATATATATATATATATATATATATATATATATATATATATATATATATATATATATATATATATATATATATATATATATATATATATATAATTCATTTAATAAAAAATGATTATATATTTTGTTGTACAAAATTCTTTCCAAATTTTTAGAAAAAACAGAGAGGATAGAAGTTGGACGGTAGTGTTTAACATTAGTACTTTCTCCTTCTTTAAATATAGGAATAATTTTTGCTATTTTTAATTTGTCAGGAAAAACTCCCTGATTAATAGAGCATTTAAAAATTTAGAAAGGTATGTCTTTTCAAACGTCAAAACAGTTTATAATAACATTTCCATTGACATCATCTGGACCAACTGCTTTATTTGACTTTAACAATTTAAAAGTACTTTCCAATTCCTCAAATATATATATATATATATATATATATATATATATATATATATATATATATATATATATATATATATATATATATATATATAAATATATATATATATATATATATATATATATATATATATATATATATATATGTATATATATATATATATATATATATATATATATATATATATATATATATATATATATATATATATATATATATATTTGAGGAATTGGAAAGTACTTTTAAATTGTTAAAGTCAAATAAAGCAGTTGGTCCAGATGATGTCAATGGAAATGTTATTATAAACTGTTTTGACGTTTGAAAAGACATACCTTTCCAAATTTTTAAATGCTCTATTAATCAGGGAGTTTTTCCTGACAACTTAAAAATAGCAAAAATTATTCCTATATTTAAAGAAGGAGAAAGTACTAATGTTAAACACTACCGTCCAACTTCTATCCTTTCTGTTTTTGTATATATATATATATATATATATATATATATATATATATATATATATATATATATATATATATATATATATATATATATATATATATATATATATATATATATATATATATATATATATATATATATGTATATATATATATATATATATATATATATATATATATATATATATATATATATATATATATATATATATATGTATATATATTTATTTATATATGTATATATATAACCTGGCATGTTGAATGCTAATAGGCATCATTATTCATTCTATTATATTATAAAATGTATTATATAACAGAAGCTCACTAATATTCAATATACTTGTGTTTTAAAGGTACCAGTTTTTTCTTATCTTCACTTTCCAGAACACAGAATAAACTATTAAATTTATACAACTTATTATGTGTTCTGTCTACAAAGTACTTAAGAAACCATTCTAACTTTAAAAGTTTTTATTTTAAATATTAAAATTATTGTTTTTAACACGTTAGATCTTATATTAATTAGAAGGTTAAACTCATGTAGAGGTTTCTGGCTCTAATAGTGTTGTAATGACAATACATTCAAATACATATGAGCCAAAGTGAATATTTTAAAACTTTTTAAAAATTTTTAAGTATTTGATATTTTCATTAAAATTTTTTAAAACTGCTTTCTTTTTTGATTTTGTTATTTAAATCAGTTATTTTTTGTTTGTAGAAACTGTAACGAGAAATGCACATCAAAGTCGATTTTGAGGGATTTGGCATACTGCGACACATGACAGAAATATCAATTGGGTCAAACTCGGCAAGCATTTAGGTGGGTCTTTTATAAGTAGCTCGTGTGGGGCTCATCAAATAGCCCATACTGGGCCCACCTAGAGCCCTTTAAAGGGCTGGGATTGAGTTACCTACAAGAAAGAGTAATAACAAGTAATACCAAGCGGCTCTAAAGCTTAAAAAGTCACTTACCTTTTTTGTTTGATTATCCAGGATGCATAAATAATAAATTATTTTATTGTTTATGCATCTTGGTTAATCAAAACAAAAAATGGCAAAACTATAAAATTGTTTGAGTAACAAAATACCTTTGTTTGATTTGAAGCACGATCCTATTCAAAATGTCATTTAAATGTAGTTTTGTTTTAAAAAATTATTTTCAAATGACGCTAAAAATAATAAACCGCATCGAATTTCAGTAACTTGTGGCGCTATAGATTGATAACAATCCGTTAAAATTTCATCTATTTATACGGTCTGGATTTAAATACTTATTAAAATAAAAAGATTCAGAAGATTTCCGTTGGCGAGTCTTTAATAAAAACAAAATAGTACAAAGTTCAAATAAAATTGCCGATCGAATGAGAAAACGACGTTCAACTAACTTTCAATAAATAAAATTAGTCAAGCATAATTTATTGATAATCCCTACACTGTTTATTTTATACTGCCAACAAAAAATACATGCGCAAAATACTAAAATAAACATTGTATTTGTTGAAAAATGAAACTAATGCAAACCATGTAAAGAGTGTAAACATTTAAAACCATCTTTTACAATGGCTTTAAAGGATTAGAATATGTCAAGTGTAATAATGATGTAACTTGTACTACTAGTTTTTTCAAAGTTTATAAACTATAACTTCCAGTGTCGTTTACAATTTGTTTGTAACTTTTTTGATTAAGTAACGCTATTGCAGATATGTTTGTGATATGTCTAGCACTCATAACTTTGTTTATTGGATTATTTTTCCTGCGTTGTTTATTAAAACGTATCTTTCACCCTCTTCGATTATTACCATCACCAAAAGAACATCTCATTACTGGTCATATTAGTCACTTTCAAGGCCGTGACCATTCTAACACCTTTTTGAGTTTCAACGAAAAATTTAAAGAAGAAGGTTTATGCACGCTAGATACATTATATGGTAACATTAATTGTTTTAGTTTATATAATTTTCAAAATTTTTGACAATTAAATTACATAAATAAAGTTTGTTAAACTTTTTTAATGTTTTTAATTATAAATCCAACCAAGTATGCATGTTTATTTTTGAATATACTGTGTTTAAATAAAAGGCTATAGTTCAATATTAAAACGAATTTTTTGAACTGTAATTTGATACTTTAGTAATTGAAAGCCAAAATAGTAAAAAATTAAGTTTCAGTTAGGCATTTGCTATTACGTATGGTATTGTAAAAACGATTTGCATTAATCTTTTTTTCTTTCTACTTGTTTCTACTTTGCTTCAATTTTTTGATGAATCTCAATGAAAAATAGGTACACTGTTTTTAGTAAATAAATCTAAAGTTATTTTTGTTAAAAGACATTGCAATAGTCAGCTTATCAAGATTATAAAAAAGAAAACGTAGTTAAAAACAAAAAACCTTACGAAAAGGGGATTGATTTCTGATGCTTGATTTCAAAAATCCAAAGTAAACAAGTGACCAACTGAAAGTTGTCACTTGTTGGCAATGGGACACAAAAAGTGGCCCTAAAAGCATTTGGGTGAAAAATACATTTGTTATTTATACAGCTATTTTCACGCATTTATATAACAATACCATGCCTAAAAATTATTGCTATTAAATTAAGGAGAATCGGTTTATTTATAGATTGCAGGTTTTGTTTTGGGATAAAACACATTTTAATGTGGAAGACTAGAGGTCACAGTTTGTTCATTATTCCGTTGGTGAGCCAACAACATCCAGACACATTGAACTGCATGCGAAGAATATTAAAATATTTTCTGTGGTCATTTTTTTGTTGTTGAACCAGGAGCACTTTATCTAGTTGCTGGCAAAATGACCTCTGACATTCAAATTAATTATCAAAAAACAGAAGTAATTCCAGAAATTTTGAATGAGTTTTAATATTGAAAAAAAATAGTGCAACAGGATTTAAATAGTACAACAGGATTGAATGCTTCAGCAAAACTTAACGCGATAATGTTTGCTGACGACACAAATCTTTTTTTATCAAACAGTGAGATTAGGCAACTTTACTCTGACATGAATTATGAATTAAGGAATGACAATGAATGGTTTAAGCCTAATAAACTGTAGCTTAATGTAGATAAAACAAAGTATACTCTATTCCATAAAAAATCACAACAGAAAAACCTTCCCTTAAAATTACCAGATTTAATTTTAGGTGATAAACTAATCGGAAAAAATGAGTCAATACAATTCTTAGGAATTCTTATTGATAAAAATTTATTATGGCTTCCTCACATAAATTATATCCAATCAAAAATTTGTAAAAAAATTGGTTTGATTTACCGTATTCGCCCATATGTAACATCAGAAAGTCTAAAACTAGTATATTTTGGTCTCATACATTGTTTTATTTACTATTCTAATATTACATGGGCTAGTACTCAACCATCAAAACATAAAAAAATATTTTCTCTAGAAAAACATGCATGCAGACTAATATATAAGAAAAGAAAATATGAACATGCAAATCACTAATGAAAGACATGCAAACTATGAGTATATATGAAATTAATATTTCCCAACACTTAGTTTTTATGTATAAATATAATAACAGCCTGATTCCAAAAACCTTTGATAATAAATTTACGAAAAATGTTAACAATAATTACTCTCTTAGAATAAACTAATGAAATACTCATAAATTGCCTAGAATTACGCGCAAGTATTCTGAATATGGAATAGCATACTGTGGACCGAAACTATGGAGCACATTTCAAAAAACAAAACATTTAAATGCGGTAAAATCATTAAACTTCTTTAAGTTTCTAATAAAAAATGTAATTTTTACACATTATAAATAATATTGCAATTTTTCTAAATGAACATCGAATTCTATTATTCTTAGTTAGTCCGTATCTTCCTTGAGCCCCTGCCTTTTTTTATAAATAAAATTTTTTTGTAAGTAAACTTTTCTTTGTAATTATATTTTTTTATTATATAAATAGCAAATATATATAAACTAAAAAAAACAAAACAACTGGCCACATGCCGAACAAGTCAGAAAATATATGACATAAAATAGCATTAAAACTTTTAGAAGATTAGGCAACTGCAAAAATGTGGCTCTCAACTAAAACTACATTTAAATCATTGGTTTAAACAAGACCTTGACACTTTAAACAATTTTGAGGCTTTATTACACTGTAAATATTTGCCGTAGATGTAACAGAGAATGTCCAGCAGCAAAGGAACAGCATTTTTCCGTTAAATTTATGGTTTCCATATTTTATTTTTTCTATTCAAATTAGCAAAAAAACTCCGTTAGTTCAGCAAATGGACAGTTACTTGACTTATTTAACAGAGTTTACGCGAAAATCAAAAATCAAAAACAGTCTTTTGATCTATTATTGGTCTGCCCACTCAAACAGCGTCGCTTCGTTTACAAAACTCAAAACTTTTGGGTGACGTCCGACATACAGCTTTTTGACAAGTTTTTTTTTTTTATTCATTTTCTATTTTCAGGATTCATTTTTGCGATACATCTAAATAATATATAGATCAGATTAATAAATTATTACTATCATTACAAAATGAATAAATAAATAAAATCAAGAAAATAGTTGAAAAGTTGTATGTAGAGCAAGCATGTCGAGCATGCAGTTGCAGATAATCAGGATGTGTTGATAAAGAAGAAAGTGCAAGTTAGAAGTAGATAAAGTTAAAGAATACATTGCAGGTAATATAAAAAAGCTATGGGTTTTTATAGATTTTTTATAAACAAGTATAAAAGTATATTATCACAAATGAACCTTATAATTAACAAAAGTGTTTTGTTCTGGCAAAAAAGGAGCATTTTTATAGAGTAAATCTATGATTTCAGCTGGCAGCTTTTCCAAGGAACTTTGAAAATCTCTATCCAATCTTCCAGTATAGCATTGGAAGATTAAGATGTAGGCCCATTTAAAATGCAAGGTTGGGTTGAAACCGAAACGAAGGCATGAACCTGAGAAAAACTTTCAATAGTAGTATTTCATTTTAAGAGTTACAATCAAAATTAATTAATACATGTAAATACAAATTATTAATTAAATAATAATGTCAAAAATTGTTAAAATTAAAATATCTATTCTACAGAAAACTTTATCAAAAACCACGACTTAAAATAATTTAAATATAGATCAGATAACGAGAATAATAACTAAGAGAACTATTTAAGACTGAAAAATAAAAATATATCTAACACACTGTTTTATTTAACTTATACCTTCTTTCCATACTTTTATCACCCATGTGGTTTATCCTTCTCCGATTTATTTCCATATAGAGGCTACATACCAAGGCCCACTAAAACGAATTTAGCTCACTAATCATCATCACCTCTTTGCAGACCAAGGGTATGTGATTTTTAATAGAATGTAGAATATTAGAGAGAAAGTTAGAAGTTGTGTTAGAAAGTTGGTATAGAGACAGCAGACTGTATTGCACTAAGTGTTGGAATGTGCAATTTATATATATATATATATATACATATATATATATATATATATATATATATATATATATATATATATATATATATATATATATATATATATATATATATATATAAATATATATATATATATATATATATATATACATATATATATATATATATATATATATATAAATATATATATATATATATATATATATATATATATATATATATATATATATATATATATATATATATATATATATATATATATATATGTATATATATAAATATATAAATATATATATATATATATATATATATATATATATATATATATATATATATATATATATATATATATATATATATATATATATATATATATATATATATATATATATATATATATATATATATATATATATATATATATATATATATATATATATATATATATATAGATAGATAGATTTTTAATACTTTTTTTATCCATTTATTTAACCAAAATATTGGAAAAAAATTACACATTTATGTAAAATTTAAAAAATAAGGTTCAGTCTCACTTGTATAGTTTAAAACTAGACGTTAGAGTGACACCTTAATAAAATAAACAAATAAAGCATAAAACAAACAAGCAACAAAAAGTGCTAATATAAAGGAAAGATAAAGGAAATAAAAGTAATTATAACAAAAGAATAATAACTATTAAAAAAGTCAGAATAATAGCAATAAAAGAAAAAGTAAATGAGCTGAGTTGATAGATAATCTATGAATGAGATAACACAACGTTTAACAATCAGAAGAGTGATTATGATTAGTAAACGACCAGGGCTAGAAAAGGACTGTAGCCTAGGCCAGTTCTACGGACGGGACTGCATAGATATTGGTGCATATTGACTTATTTTTATATATCATGACAATATGCACCAATATTATTTATACAGCTCCAGCCATAATCTTGGCTTTGACCTAGATCAAATACCAGCCTCGGTCGTTTAACAGTTATGATGAGACAAAAAAATATGAAATCACTTGAATATATCAGCAAATACAAAACGCAACAATAATAAAAATACTTAGCAACAACACCACAAAAAAAAAAAAGCACAGCACTGTAAGCAAATCACATATGATCACCTCAATATATATGATGCACAAAACTACATGACAGTATAAACAAAAATAGAAATACTCAACAATATAAACAATAAACAAAACAAAACGAAAATTTAAACAGTTCAAACAACATAAATTATTAAAACTTAAAAATTGTTTTTTTTTGCTTTCTTTTAATAACATATTAAAGTTTTTTATTTTTAAAAATCTCAAGAACATTTTTTCTTTTAACTTTTTGTTGTTAAAAAAACACTTCCTTCATTTGGGTAACACAAAATTTTCAGTTAAGACAAGTTTTATTTACAACTAGCTGGGATCGGACCCGTAAAAGTACGGGTCTGTTTTCCAAACCAAATTTTTCTATACTTATTCTTTATATATCCTAGCTCTCCG